TACGTTTAAGTTACTGAAATGGCTAGAATTTTGTTTTATAATAATCATAAAAACCACAACTCTTCACTTGTGCCTAGTTCACAAATCACGGGCCGGCTAATCGGAGAAAATGTACGTCACTTCACACTCGACTATGCTGGGAATGATTCCTGCAGCGAACGTGCGCCACGTAAACGGCACAAAAACTTCTAGTTTTCACTCAAACGGACGGGGTAAAAATGCGTCAATGTTCAAAACTTTCTTCTGTTAAGCAAACCCCACACGCATCAATATATTGACGCGAAGGGGAATTATTGACAATAATATTGATGATGTGAATTCAGAAATATTGTCAATCTCGATGTATTGACGTCAATTTAGAATGTATTGACATTTCGATTATTGTCAATAAAAGCAATCGTATAGGGTCCACTTTAGACAATCACGGACAATAGCAAAAATCGCCATCGTTCTCCTGAAACCGCGCTCGACTGTTATATTGATTTGCGACCTATCACAAACACGATCGCCAAACAGCTGATGGTAATAACGCTTTGTACATTCCTATCAATACGCTCGTTGAAGCTCTCTCCATGACCATCCATCAAGTTGACGAAAGAAGTAAAAAGCAACTGATGAATGTCGTCGTCTGTTGTGATCCATCACCGATCTGGTCATTCCCGACAATCACGACACTCATCTGTGCTCGTTTTAAAGCAGTTGCTGCTTTGCTTGCTTATGTGAGTGTGTTGGTGAGTGAACCCAACAGCTTCCGTTTCATGTTGCCTGCTTTGTTTGTAACTAACACAGTCGCGCCTGCCGAGACGAACTTGGAATGCGTAGGCATTGTTTTCATTTTCTTCTGTCGTTTCGCTTTTTCTCATGATCGTACTGCAGAAGTCTTCACTGTTTTCGTTGTGCTTTTCATCATCAGCAGCGAGTGTAACGTTTTGCTTGTGAGCAGCGACCATTACTAGTGATTGTGATCTGGCAGCGATAGTCGGTGTATGAGAAGACGAGTGTCACGTGAGTGTCATGATATTTTGCATCACTGGTTTTCACCTTCTTTTGTAGTGGGAGGAGAAATGGGACCTAATTTCATTCAAAATGCGTGACAATTTTATACGATAATTTTTCCCCTTCATTCTAAAACACCTAATATAACTATTTGAATAAAATTAGAGACAAAAACTACGACTAAAAATATGGTGAGTATGTTTCATGAGCATGCGACAATAATAATATTCATCCAAAATAATCATGACAGACAAGACACACGCTCATAGCAAACATGTTAAAAGTATGGGTAATAATTGTCACCCTTGCCGAGGGTTACCACCTCACACTTAATCTCACTGTGTCGTTGCGCAACATTCTATCGTACTTTCAATGCCGCACCACATGTACTGATGCATCACCTTGTAGCGTATACTTCAACGTGACACACGACGCTTTCGAATGACTCCTTACGCTCCTCCGACGCAATGTAAGTCGCACAGCTACAGTGTGCGACACACAATGTCGCACATGCTCGATGCGCTGCTACTTTATGCTATTGCTGCAATGCTTTGTTACACTGTTTCGTTGCACCAACGTCCAATGTTATGCTGCTTTTGCTGCTGTTCAGTGAACTGACGAGCCGTTCCCAGATCTAGTCGGCTTCTACGATGATGCTGGTCACACTCAACCTCTTTCGTTCACAATCGGTGATAATCGCCGCTGACTAGATCATCTCCTTCTGTCCCGTGATGTCAGTCGTGAACTGCAAAAATGGCCGGAGAAAGAAACAAGGCCCTCTATGGAGGCCAAAGGAACATTAGCATATATCTTTATGAGTTGTGGCAGCGGCGGTTACCTCTCGAAGGCCTTTTGGTTTCGCCTCTCCTCACGACATTGGAGGGATGGAGACCTAATGAACAGTAGATTGTAGGTTATCGGTGATCCATTTTACTTAACCGAAGTGATTAAATGATCAAGCTAAGCCATGGAAATGACTGTGTGAAGCTCTCCTATGTTCCGTTAATCATTTAGATTACTAAAGCTGCTGAACGAGAAGGCTTATGAGGATTAGATGATGCTTTACACACTTAGAAATTATTACCGACTTCGGTAATTTTTTACCGAACTTTCAACAGCTGAACGTTCGGTAAAATTTTTACCCTCATTTCAAAAGCTGTTTAATTTCAAAACACTGTCAGCCTTGTTTAAATATTCGAGTGTTGCCATTTTGGTGAAGTTTTCCTAGTTTTGAAGCTTTAAAACTAATGAATTAAAATGCCTGATTTGTACCGAACCGTTCAGCTGTTGAAAATTCGATAAAAATTACATCGGTGATGATTTCTAAATGTGTACGGGTAACAGCTACTAATTAACTCGATATGATATATCAGCAAGTCACGGGTCGCTACGCCGTTCAAATGTGTTGTGCTTTTTGCTATATCTGTGAAGATTCGTTCGTTTTAGATTCCGAATTTTGAATTTTGCATTCGGCATTACCTTTCTCGTGGCGTTTAAAAGGAGAACCTGGGGTTTTCACATGTACAATCTGTCGGATCGTGCATAAGCACAACTTTTAATTTTTTGCTGCTTTTTAACGAATGATAACCAGAAACCAGATAATGGTCTCTTGTCGCACACTGATCTAGGGTTTATGGCTTTGTGGTTTGGATCGTTTCCTGTTCTGCCGTTTGTTAATAATACACGTAAATAGCATGGTTCGAGGGCATGTATTGTGCGTTTTTTGAGGAGTTTTTATATTGGAGAACTGTTTCCAACACATCGTTGGTACATGAGCAAATCGGCGATCATCTCTTTTTGCCAGTGGTGGCGGGGGTCAAGGATACCCCTCACCATCCCTCTCCAACTGGGGAGTTTGGGTAAAGATAGATGATTATTTAATATGTATATTAATGATTTGCGAGGTGTTTTACGATAGTGCGACATTAATCTTTTTGAAGATGATACTGTGTTATTCATTGCAGCTAAGGATTTACACGTTTCACACTTGAACAGTAGATGGTTGAGGTATAAGCAATTGAGATTAAATATAAGTAAAACTAAATTCAGGGTGATTTCGCGGAATCGTGTAAATGAGAACGTCTCCGTTGTCATTGATGATGAGGCTATTGATCGCGTTCGGGAGATTAAATATCTTGGCGTGATTATTGATGACAGCCTTAAGTTCAACTCTCACACTGATAATATCATCAAGAAAATTGCCAAGAAGTATGGAATTCTATGTCGATTGAAAAACGATGTAATTATTGCCAGTAAAATACAGCAAATCCAATCCATTTTATTTTTGGCCAATGCAACACAAATATCGAGATTACAGCACTTGCAGAATAAAATAATGCGTTTATTCCTCAGAACATCCCTGCGGCGCCGACTGGGATTAAACTCAGGCCAGCAGGGGTGAGAGGTAATCTCGCTTACCACTACACCGCCGGCCCCGCTAGATTTTCATAGATATAATACTTGAAACTCGGATGAAATAAGAACACCACATTTATTGACCTTTGCTTCACAAAATTCATTATATTTTAAAGACATTAATGTTTTCAATTCGATTCCCAGACACATTCAACGGGCAACTACACCTACAAAACTTAAGAGACATTGAATTTCACACGTTTAAGCTGTCTTTTGAACAGTGATTTTTTTTATGAATTGGCAAATTATCTTGACGAAGTTTTTAACGGATTATTTTATATCGATAGCTGTCATAACGACTTTTTATTAATTATTGTAGCACGGAAAAAATATATTGTGTTCGCCGCGATGGTGATGATGGATTTTTAATATTTGATTTAATAGTAGTAGATTAAAAAAAGTAGTCTACAAAGGTTTGAGCCTCGGGCGCGTATTACGGACATAGAGGACTGAATTTAAAATTTAATTAAAAAAAAAATTAAATTTTGAAGTTTATTTGGAAGATGTCTTGAGTTAAGTTTTCTTTCAAATGTTGGGGGTTCGTGAGCATTCCTGATATTGCTGAGAATTATGATAGCATCAGATTGTGGGGTTGCTAGTGTAATAGGATGCTTTTTTTTATTGTTCATTAACTCTTGATCGCTTGTAATATTTATGAATATTTTAGGTGGACAAAAAGGTAAACTAAGAGGTGGACACTTGAGCTTTTTTATATTTATATCGCTGTGAAGCCACTGTGAACTCAAGAGGGAATTTATATCTGTAACTGAAACCAGTTCTATTTTGTTTTCTAAGCTGGTCAAAATGTCATATTTAATTATCTTAAAGATAAATCGTCCCGCTCAAACCTTTGTAGGGGTAAGAGGTGGGACCATCATCATCATCATTAACCCGATTAGTACCTTCCTCAAAGTTGTCCTTGCTCGCTTTCTACTCTCTACATACAATTTTCACACTGCCGTACTCTAACGGAACTATCAATTCTATACTATCGTATAAAAATTACCACTTTAGTTTGTCATTTGAAATTAGCATCTTCAAATACACTGTACGTAGTACGCTTTAGCAAGAGTTTAACATGCAGAATACTAATGTTATTAACAAAATCCTGTATTTATTGACGATAAAACAATAACAATTCTTAAGGTTTGTCTTACTCCAGTTTCCTCTATTAATCACTTTTTGGCTACTAATGGCGGTAATCTCCAACTCGGATTAACTTTTAATATGGATCCTGTTTGAATGTTTGCTTAGCGTCGTGTTGATGAACTCTGATGTCAACATCAGACCAACCAGGACATTCTGGATTGGGATTTAATCCGAAGATAATACCAGTTGGAGCTTCCCGCCAAGTTCTATCAATTTAACGAAATTTTCACATGATACTCGTCAACAATCAACAAACTGCTATTAAAAGATTCTGGATCTGGCGTGGTGATACAAAAAAGACATTCTGATAAATCGTTACATTTTGCGCATAAAAAATAGATTTTTATTGAAGTTAATAATTGTCTGCCTAATCTTAGTTGCTTTAAACCATAAATAACGAGACGACCATTCTTAATGTTGTATATCTATTAAATTTTCAGCACACCTTTCGATGAACCTGAGGAAGCTTGCAGCAGCGGTCTACTGGCAAAGCCGGTAAAGGCTTTGGTTGGCTTTTTAATTAGCTTTTTCATCGTACGTGCCCTTGGAAACTGATTGTCCACGCTAGAAAAGGACATCAATCTTCAGTTACAACGACGCTGTCTATAAGCTTTTGCCGCCATTAAAACGAATGACAGGTGGTTCAATGAACTGTATAATTTCCGAAAATTTACCACCCACTAGAAGAACCATCTTATGACTGTTTGATTCAGCTACGAAATATCCATGGTCAAAGGAATGAAATCGCATTAAGTGGTTTTTCGCGTGAAAGAAACATTCATCTTTTTTCTTTTTTCCTTTGACGCTGTGTATGTATTTATATATTATGTTATACCTGATGCTCTGTGCCTTATTTAATTCCAATGTAAATATTTCGTTTAATTTGTAAAGAATGGTTCTTGTTGTGCTTGGTAAAAGCTTCGTGTGTTTAGTTTTTAATCTATAACGATAGTGCTTCATAAAATTCGTCTCGTCTGGAACTGGTTTATTTATACAAGAAGATGCATTGCATATACTCCGCTGCTGAACTCAGCTAAAAGTAGATGTTGATAAATTATGCATCACAAACGGCAGGGAGTTAAATGTAGCCCTGAAAAACTTGCAAGGTCAAAAATCGATTCCAGACGACAGACGACACCAAAAGATTTAGTGTAGGTATGATTGTGACATTAAGTGTAAAAAATGAAAAGATTAAATAATGAAATAAATTATGTCGTTTAAGTCAATGCGTTGATTGTCCACTTTTCGTTGAAGATGGAACATATGTCTTGGTAATGAAGCTTATTTTGGCATTGAAAGAAAAACAACATTACCTCAAGGCATTCTTTTGTACGTACGAGCTAGAAGAGCGTTATCAGTGATTGCGGTGGTTCAAGGAAAATTAAATAAAGCATTTCTGAAAACATGACGCTGCAAATTCTCTAGGCCAATCGGGTGAGATCTTTCCATTTTATCTATTTATATTTCATTTTTGTCACTGATTAATCAAATGCTCTATATTGACGAATAGAGTTTCCAAATCATTCACGCTCCCACTAACACAACTCTTTCCTTCCTGTGACACCTATGAAGGTAGTATGGGTTCCCTGCACCTTCTTAAGTAGATGGCTTAGCTTAGCTTAGCTTAGTCTGACTGCACGTATCGATAGTTGCACTCCGTGATTGATCTGAACCAGTGAAATTGTACAAAGAATCAACTGAATGGGGCTTGGTAGTAACCTGCCATTCTCAGTGTACATGTTCCAGTGACTCCTACCTTTAAAGATCAATAACGTCACCGGCCACGTCCTTGCAATCAGGTGGGAGAGGGAAGGAATGTTAGTGTGTGACTTTTGTTGTTTTGGGACCCTCTGCATCCCACAAAAGTCACAGGAAGGAGGTTTTGTTAGTGGGTTAGGTTCGTTGGATCAGGATTCACCTTGATAAGTGATGCGATCTTTTGTTTTGTGTAGTTATTTATAAGTGTTTTCGATTTATGCTCTAAACAGCCGGCTGTCTAGAGATGTAGATCATTATTAGATGTGTGTATACCGATTTAAACCAACAATAAGGATACTGTTGGGGCCACTCACAAAGTGTGATGATGGTTTATTTTATTTTATCAATGACCAAAATAATTAATTATAAGCGGTATGAACCGATTTAAACCAACAGCAAGGATGCTGTTGGGGCCACTCACAAAGTGTGATGGTGGTTTACTTGATTGAATATAAAATAATTATTAGAACCGATTTGACCCGATTTAGACCAACGGCAAGGATACTGTTGGGGTCACTCACAAAGTGTGATGGTGGTTTATTTAGTTCGGAAGAAAATGAATATGTATACTTCTTTTTTTTTATATAATAGAACGAATTTGTACTGATTCAAACCAAAAGCAAGGGTTCTATTGGGGCAACTCACAAAGTGCGATGGTGGTTTATACTATAAGGGCATAAAACAAAATCAAGAGCCATTTCGGTTTCCATAGCTTCCTAGACACTCGGCCGCAAAATAATCTTATCCGACGGAAACGTCTCGATCATCGCTGCACAATGGTTTATTATAGCATTTATAAAGTAAATTTGAATACCTTATTGTTTATTTATTATCCATTTTGACTTGACTTGGTACCGTTCAGTTTTATGATGACAAAGTTGCCTGGAGAAAAGTGACAGTTCAAAATGTTTCGGAAGGGAGTCAGCTAGTGTCGTCCAAGTTCAAGTGCGGAAAAAATGCCATTTAAAGTGGTACAAACAATTGAAAGATGCGAAACATGCCTAACCGTAATTCTTTCTGGTTGGAAAGAAGCTGGAATCCTACACTGGCCGGAAAAAAAACGCGGTAGCGAAACTCTCTCAAGACGAGTTCTCCATGCCAAACCCAATGTGGGAACGTATCAATTGAGTGAAAAAAAGAGAGTTCAAGACTCGCTTGGAGGCTGAAGCAGAATTGGAACAGATGTAGCCAGTTTCGGATACGGAGGCGAACGAAGGGAATAATCCACCACCGTCAAAGAAAGTTTGCCCCGAAGTCTACAAGTCCCCCAGTCGGAAGGGAAACACAATAAGAGACTTTAACGAAGTTTTCCTTATTCCTGGGCAGGAGGTTGACACCTGTGAAGCTGACTGTAAAATCCAGAATCAGATGAGATTATAATATATGCGACACAAATTCACTTTTTATAGGGGAACATGTGATGTGAATAGAACCCACTATCAGTGCAAGGATTACATATGACTGCAGATACTTCACTGGTTGTAAAGTTCTGCCTGATAGTTTGTTGCAGCTGGGTGAATCAACTTCATTGAAGACCTTTGGAAGACAAACGACAAGATGTACGTCTATCAACACGTGACAAGGGACTGACAAATCCACGAACACTTGTCCAGTCTACAAATCCATTGAAACCCTTAGGCTGCCCCCCCCAAACCCAACATATAATAATGTTTGATTGATGAAACGTATTCAAAAAAGGGATATTTAGAGAGAACAATCTTCAACTGGAACGTACTCACCAAATCAATACATCCGGGAGCGCATTCTCGATGCTTAATTTTCTCTAGTCATTTTTAAACAATTCCTCCTCCAGCGAATCCAAACACACAATAACTAAATATCACTTTTCTTCTTCATGTCACTCTGTGCACAAAAGCAATGCACACCGCAAAAACCTAATAATAGATCAGCGCGGTCGAGTCACACTGTCAACAAAGGGAGCGAGAGCACACCAGGCACCAAAGCAACAGGGGAAAAACATCAGCACAAATCATTCTAAATAGAATTATCGCGTCCGGGACATAAAACTATTCAAATGCGAGCACCGAAAAACTACACGGCAGCACAAAGATAGCCCGAGCTCTAAAAAAAAAGCACGCAGCGGAGCAAAAACACACAACCGTTCTCGGACGCTTCTCAAAGCGGACCCCCTGCACCTTCTTAAGTAGATGTTGGATTAACTTTCCCTCCCTTCCCCTGCGATTGTAAGGATGTGGCCAGGTGTATAATGCGATGCTTGTATTGTAGATTTTATTTTCGTGTGGGGAAAATCACTAATCCCAAGTGATATTTTCTGCGTCAACACTCGATATTTTCTGCAAAACGTATTAGTTGACCATTATATAGCCACCCACGATTTGTACAATCGCATATGCTATGCTATGCTATGCTATGCTATGAAAGAAAAACAACATTACCTCAAATCTTATGGTGAGCATTTGAGCACAACTTTTTCGAGAAATAAAAAAAATATATAAAATTAAAAACAAATTGATCTTATAGGGCACCATCTGAGAAAACTAAAGAATTACTCTAACACGGGGACCAATAAAGTTATTTGTAATTTTTACCAATCTTTCAACAGCTAAACTTTTTGGTGAAAATGGTAAGATTCGAATATTGAAACAAGGCTGTATGTGTTTTGAAATTGAAACTTGTTTAATAGATCTTGAAGTGAAGATCATAGTGACACCAAGACACTGAGCAAATTGCTATATAAACAAATTGTGTTCTTTGCGTAACATAAAAGTAGCCATTTTTTCATTGATTTTAAAGCGCAAATCCTGCCACCAAGCGGTGTATCATGAAAAGCCATTTTAAGCTGTCATATGTTTACTAATCTACACCTCAATTATGCTCTTCCACACCGTGCACATAAAGGTCATTCCGCTCCAAGTGACAAAAAAAATTCGATACAGAAATTTACCTCTTTCAATTTTGACCAAATTTGGAAAGTGAGCTTTCGAATTGTCCAATTTGTTGTTAGCGGAATGCTTAAATAAAACAGCAAAAAAGGGTTATCTTCCATTTAATTCCACTTAATTTATTTTGGTATCCATGAAAGATACGTATTTCGACTACAATGTGCAGTCTTCATTAGTGTCATTCCCACTAAAGAACTTATCAAAATCTTAAGGGGGTTATCAAAATCTAACCCCCTTAAGTACTCATCCCTAGGTAAAAAAAAAGTCAAGATCATAGGTATAAAAATGAAACTACAATGTGTTGAAAGGCTTGGTAGCCATCATAATGAAGTAATGAAATTGGGTTGTTAGCGGATATGTTTACTTAAATCTTTGGTTTTAATTAGTTAGGTAGGTTCCGATTCAACACATTGTAGTTTAATTTTTATACCTGTGATCTTGACTTTTATACCTAGGGGATGAGTACTTAAGGGGGTTAGATTTTGAAAAATCCTTTAGTGGGAATGACACTGATGAAGACTGCACATTGTAGTCGAAATACGTATCTGTCATGGATTCCAAAATTAATTAAGTGGAATTAAATGGAAGATAATCCTTTTTTTTTGCTGTTTTATGAATTTTATATATAATTAGTTTCGAATTTTACTCCATCTTGCACACACTTGTGCACAAACCTGTTAAATATCGTCAGGTATTTTAGTCAGCTGAAGATTACTCATGTTGTAAATTTTGTAATACTCAGATATGCACTCGTACAAATAATTCCTATAACATGTTTTAAAGCATGCTATCAGTTTACAAAATGCTGTGAGTGCTTCCATCTGTATATCAATTTTGATATTAAAATTGAGTGAAACAGCTTTTGAAATGAGGATCAAAGTTTTACCAAACTTTTAGTTGTTGAAAGTTCGGTAAAAATTAGCGAAGTCGGTAATAATTTCTAAGTGTGTACTATTGTCTAACGGTATTTCATTCATATGTGGTTTTAATTCGAGATGCTATTATATATGAAGGATAAAAGTAGAGATTATTGCTGAATATTCAAAAGTTTTCAACTGGAGACATCTTTTGTTGACTAAAGTACGTCAAATTCAATAGATTTTAATTCCAAATTGTACACCAGCTTTAAAACTTATCGACTATAGATTCGTGAATTACAACAGTATGAATACATTTACGACTGGACGACCGCTTGCAATAACTTCGTCAGAAGACTTAATCTCGTAAGATCAGTAAAGCACACAGTGAACCAGTGATGGCATAATCATTAGCAAAATGTAATTTTTTTCGCTCTCATACGCTCTAAATATCACACGTGATATTGGATGAAAATATCTTGCTTGATATTAATTTTACAAGGTCTTTTGATATTACGATACTACATGTAAAATTGTAGCTGAGATATTTTTTTCCTTGATTTGTATTCCTTCGATCTTGTTTTCCGTGGCTACTGACGCCAATGAGGCAGTTCCCACACCTGGACCCTACCTATCGACCCATCAACTCATGAACCGGGGACCAACGGCTTTACTTCCCGGGATCAGAGATGTTATGCCTTAGAATATCCCGGCTGCGCCGACTGGGATTGAACCCAGACATGCTTACCACTAAACCACCGGCGCCGCTAGTTGAGAGTTCACTAATTATAAAATTATTCCTTATTCATCTTCTTGATTTCTTTATTTAACGTCAGTCTCTGTTCCGCAATTACTGCCAATCACCGACGGACATCGGTTGCCATCCAATGACGGCAATCGAATCGCCAGGGAGGCCGAATCGCCATCAAAATAGTACAGAATTTTCAGAATGAACCTTTGAACTTACATGAAAAATTCATATGTACTGTGTACAACAAGACAAACTTATCGAAACTTCAATTAAATTTACTAAATCAATTGTATGTAATCAATTGTTGGATGTTTTAAAAATAGGATAGTTTCCCAAGAGTTGTAAACTATCTCGATGTCTTAAAACACATCTTTAGGTTTTGTAAATGGGTGAAAAAACAAAGCCTTTACACTGATCCCACAATTATGGATCAGCTAAAAACAATTATGGGTCAGTCAGTTTTGCTTGTTAATCAAATTGATAATTGTAGGGTCAGTGTATACATTTCATCCATGTTCACATGCAATCAACACGGGTATGAACAAATAAAACGAAACTTTTATTTTCTCTTCAATGGAACTATTTTAAAACTGTTTCACGCATGATCAGTCCTTCATCTTTTTCAAAACTTCTTCTTATTCTAAGCTTTGAAACTTCTATACGATCTTTAGTCTAGTCTTAACAAAGTGTTCTTTGAAGCACTTCCACCGTTATTCGTTGAGAGCTTTATATTACATATTGTATATTTTGTGGCAGGGAAGTCAAGAAAAACTTATTGACCAAACCGTTTATCGAACCCATCGTCTTCAACGTGGTCTAACTTTGTAGGCTTGCATTTTCTGACTAGCAACTAGCAACAATGACCAAAGACCTCACGCTAACGTAAAAGCAAATTCAATCCGCGAAAAGTTGTCCTGAGCTATGCCAAAGTAACTAAGCGCATGCTATATAGCAAACTTTTCCACCTGGTGGAATTCACCACTTTTATCTTATAAATTAATATGTCTCAAAAGCAAGACGTGATTTGAATAAACCTTTGATTTAAAATTTCAACGTGTCCTCTCTTCTCTGTGTAAATGTTTAGTTATTTTTACACGTTAGACAAACTCAATACTAAAATTCGCTGCGGGACTCCAAACGTGGACATAAATGTAGATCAAAAGTAAATAGCACCCCAACCTCCAATCTGCTCCCAAACAAAACGCGGCATGGCAGTTTCCTTAATGAAAGCACTGACCGCTGATAGTTGCGTGGTTTTGAGCCTTTCTAGGAGAATCGCGCGCATGGTACGTACCACATGGAAAAAGTGGCACATCAAGTGGTCGGTCAGCGTGCTTGACCTGTGGGGTTCGGAACCAGCGGGGTGAGTATTTTCTATTCAGGACATGCTAGTTGTTGGTACGGCAGCATAAATGCTTTGGGAAACCCTCTGATATGTATATAATAGAAAGGTGGTATATTCAAATGACCGCACGCCAACATTGATTCAGTCTGCTTCCAGCAGTTGAAAGGATTTGTCGAAATAGCGGTCTCTAGGGAAAAGAAATAATTTCTGTGAATTAATTAGAATTCAGAATAAGTAGACACAAAGTGAAAGTGAAATTGTGCATAGTTTTAGTAGTGGACCGTGAAAACTTTCTATAAAAATGAAATCAAAATTTTTGGATAACATGAAAGCCAGGATGGATTCCTGTGGGACTAAGACGATCAAATATTTGCTATTTATCTTCAATCTTATATTTGCGGTAAGGAAATATAGCAACGTTAGCTGCGTGCGAGTTGTACATTGAAATTAATCAACAGCTGTACTTTATTCAAATTCCTATGCATGATTCACTGATATAAATTCAAATTAAGTAACATTTAACAGTTGGGAGCCTTGAATTGCAAATTATCACACGCTTACCACGTTGAAATCGATAAAATTTCGACTAACGTTTTCTTATTTAGTTCATGCAATAAATAATTGTGCAGTGGGTAAAGGTCTATCGTGCAACTTGCATTGCTATTTTAAACATCTTTATGGTCTTTCTAAGGTATAAAAATCAATGTGGGTCCATGGGTGTTATTTATTTCTATTTAATCTCTGTTTTGCGATATAATATTTTAAAGAAAATTGATTAAATCAATTTTCTTCGCTAAATATTTATCTTGAATTATATTTTTTTACCGGGTAAATTTGACTTTTAAGGGAAGCTTAACATTAAAAAAAAACAATCTGTCACGTTTTGATTTTTAAAAATATTGGAAAAACTTATCAAAAATCCAAGAAAACCCGTTTTGTAAACAAATTATATGTAAATATTTTTTCATTCTTATCATAAAAAAAGTTGTACTCTAAACAAAATCGGAATGTCGATTTTGGTGGTTTTTTTATTGTGTCATGATGACATAAGAAAAAGCTGCTACGAGTAAAATGTCTTTAGAAATAATAGAAAAAAAAAAAATTGAATTTTGTTTCAGATTTTTGATACTATATCCAGAAAAACCTCATGGTGTTTTTGTTTTTGAAGTGGTAAGGTTTCCCTAGATGGACTCCTTCTTTTCAAAGATCACTTACGGACTGATGCATATTAATAGAAAAATTAAAGCAATGTATAGGTAAACTCCAGCTGGAAACACCTTTTATAACTCATCTGCATAGGATTCAAGCAAAATATTGACCAAATACTATTTAGATCAAGGCTGCATCCGGCTCGTGGGCTTATTTTGTTAGGCCCGCAACGAGTTTGGAAAAAAAAATCTGCGAGTCTGGCCGCGGGTTGTTCGGTTCTCGATAATCTTTGTCAGACGCGAACTTGGAATTATGTTTGCGGATTTCGGTGACAGGTTCTGAGATCAATATGCAACGAGTTTTGGAGAGCAGTCAACAATTTCAAGTTTCTTATTAAATCACTAAGCTGCTAACAATAATAAAATGTGAATTTCAAAACACTGCTGAAGATTGTTACTTTGTTTTCTTTATTTTGTTTAGAAATTTGGGATGATTGTTAAATGACACAAAAGCTTCCGATTTTGTAAAAGAGTGGGAATAATAAGTCGGTTTTTACCACGTAAAACCAAACCAACTGAGGCTTGACAAATTCACAAACATTTGATATGCTTGGATTCTGTTGGCTCGTGTTAATTTAGCATGGTAGGATCAATATCCACATTATTTTAATGTATATTTTTAATGTACGCAATTTGATTAGCTTTGGTCCAAATGAGATAGGGATTGTTAGTTTTTTTGTAAAGCTTTATTAGCGAGGTGTTTAGCTCGTTGGCAAGTTCCTCTCACGGGTGGGTGAGCCAATACTGGAGGAACTAAAGCAATTTATTTATTACAAAATATCTAAAGCTGTAAACCTCTATTATGATAGTAATTGCAAATATATTTAGAAAATTCATCCTCCATTAATAGGAATACTGTTCCAGTAGTTTTTTTTTTTAATTTTTTTCCTTGATTTGTTTTCCGTCGATCTTACTGAGCACCAATGCTACCGACGCCAGGGAGGCAGCTCCCACACCTGGACCGTACTTATCGACCCATCAACTCATGAACCGGAGACCAACGGCTCAACTTCCCTTGATCAGAAATGTTATGACTCAGAACATCCCGGCGGCGCCGACTGGGATTGAACCCAGGCCTGCTGGGGTGAGTGTTAATTACGCTTACCACTACACCACCGGCGCCGCTTGTTCCAGTAGTTGTGGTAGTTGATAACTTTGGCTCCTATAATAGTGGAATGTATTTTTTATGTATTCCTCTATTATAGGAACACTACCGCAACTAAAGATTCAAAGGAGTGAAAAATTAATTATTTTTCATAATTTTTGGGCTTATTTTAAGTTTGAAATATGCAAATATGCTTTATTTTAGGAAAAAAAATCTTTTCCGGGTTTCGCTCAATTTTCCGGCACAACTCCCATATCGCAACTGTAAGTAAACCACTATTACTGGTACACCTACCGCGTTTAAAGTGGACCGCATAAAAAGCCACGTATAAAACCGCTTAAAAAACGCGTAAAAACTGACTCTAATGTATATTGAAAAGCTGATATGGATTCCAAGATTTTCAACATTATCTTTTAATTTAAATGTGACCATTTTTTTTAAATGACATTTAAACAAAATATGCGAAATTTTTTAGGTTAGACAATTATCGCAAGTCGGTCCCATTTGCGTTATTGCCAAAACTAAGTTTTGCAATATACATGAATATTGCACTATCATCTATATTTTTATAATCCTGTATGAATGCTACAACTTTATTCTAGAAAAGATTAAAAAAACAGACAAACAGGTTTTCCCATCGCATTAGAAACAATGTTTTTCTCGGTTTGCTGTTTTGTGCTATTGGATGAACTTGCTATTAACGGCACATTAGTGGAAGCAACCTACCTTTGTTCCCTCAGATTTGTGTGTGTGGTTGTTCCATATATAAATCAAATTTACATACGTTGATCCACAAAGGTTCAAACTTATCTATCGATTAAGGACAACCGCACGCCTAATAGACCACCATTCATAAAGTATGTAATGTTTTCATCATTTACTAGCCCCTACCTTCAATGTGGTAAGTTATTGCTTCAATTATGTCTCATATACATATGTGCTCTATTCGCCTATTGATAATTTTCACGATAACTGGTTCAATGGCTTTAGTCGCATTTGTTTGATTACCATTCTCGGTTCGCCTACACATTTTGAAGAATAATTACATGCCAAGATAAGCATCGCGCCCTCATTTTTAAACGTGGCAATGTCCTTCACCAAAAGGAAATAATGATTGGATTATTGGACATAAGTCCAGCGCTGTTGACGGAGTGTTTGTACCTAATGTGGTGCTTCACCCGCCATGAGAACTGGGACACAAATGTACAGACTGCGTAGTTCGGTGTTTGCCAGCTCACATTGAAACATGAAAACAATAAAAGGTGATGGCGGTATATGTCAAGGTGTCGACATAAAAGCTATATTTGAAAAAGTCCTTCGATGCGTGTGAATTAGTTGATGACTTAGTTGACATCTTCCTTCATTTTTTTTTCTTATTTTGTTTTCTTATATGGTACACCAGGGCAAGTGGGACCTAAAATATGGTAGTTCAGTTTTTTGTGCTTGTGTAATCTACAATAATAAAATTCCCATTCTATAAGCACAGTAATTATCTGTTAGCATCCCTGCACAGGCAATAACCAAATATTCAACTTAAAAAAATCCGGAAATATTACTCAAAAAACGTGTAATCGGTCTCACTTTCCTCGCTCACCGACGCAAGTGGGATCCATTTTGGATATTGAATATAGCAATAAATAAATATAAATTTATGGCAGTAGATCATCAGTATATATTATTTATATGTACTTGAAGTTTTAGTCGATTATTCAATGTGGTAGAACCAGACCGCTCTCTCTGGAGTGCGGGAGGACCACAATCCCGTCCAGGATCAGTGGTATTCTGTACTGATGAATAAAAAAAAATAATAATAAAGTGGGCGCTGGTGTGACAGGTCCTGGTGTTAATATTTCAGTTTCTATGGGTGGATGGCCAACCGTTTTCAGGCTGAAAGTCAAGACATTCTAGAATGCACTGTTGTGTGTTAAAAGAGAAAATATAAACATGCATATATGTGCATCTTTTCTGAGAGGCAAGCAGCTTTGAATGCTTTAAAATCATTTACATGGACTACCAAATTAGTATGGGAATGCATTCGGTTACTTCAACAGCTGTCTAATAAACAATACAGTAAATCTCTTCTGGGTGCCAGGACACTGTGGAGAAGAAGGTAATGAAAAGGCTGATGGACTAACCAGGCAAGGACCATCTAAACAATTTCTAGGACCTGAACCCTTCTGTGGAATCTCTCAAAGCTCCATCAAGATGGAATTAAGGATCTGGGAAAATATGATGATAGATTGTTATTGGAATAATACTATCACAGCCAGAAAATCAAGAAAGCTTGTGATGCCAAATGCTTTAAACCCACAAAAACTCCGTAGCCTCTCAAAGAAAGACCTATGTACTTACATAGGACTAATTACAGGGCACTGTCCAGCCAAATATCATCTAAGACTAATTAAAAAAGTAGATGATGATATTTGTCGGTTTTGTAACGAGGAAACAGAAACCTCTGAGCATTTATTGTGCAATTGTGCAGCCCTTCTTAACAGAAGAGCAAAATTCTTTGATAAGAGACTACTACAGCCCTTTGAAATATGGTGTTCTTCTCCTAGTAAGGAAATGCGATTCATACGACACATAATTCCTTGCTGGGCATGTACCTAAAGTCAGGCGTTGGTGGTTTCTTCTAATAGTAATTTTTCATCCTGATAAGGTTAACAACAAAACCGGGGAATATACTACAATAGGTCAAATAAATGGTCGCAGTGGCAATGTACTCAGTAGGAAAACAGTTGTGCTTGAAGAACATATTTTTGGAATGGGATCATCCTAAAATACCGTAACGCTTCGTAAAGACAGCACCTAGTCTACTAACATAACAGTATCAATTTTGTCAGAGTCAAAGGTACACACTAATCCAGTCAGTAAGGTTTTTCTGGGTTTTTGAATTGCGGAACTGTTCGGTAAAAATTAAAAAAATTGTGGAAAATTCAAAAATGATAAAATTTATTCCAAACTTGTTCATACATAGTTCTGTTAACCACATGTTATGATGGAAAATACAATTCGTCGATATCATAGATTCCTTACGGATAACGGCATTTGAATTTTTACCGTCTTTTTCAGCAGTTCAAAAACCCA